CTATGTCAACCCAAAGAGGGCGCTATGCAGACTTGTGGACACAACACTTTGTCAACTGGAAACGACCCTTGTCAAAATCACTTGGAAATCTAACACATGGCAGGTCAGAAGAACGGTCCATTGGAAATTGCCACTGAAAGTGGCCTACCTCTGGAGACTTCATGCAACTCTTTCCATGGTCCTACTGAAGAGGCTAAGTTTTTTACACAAGACGGTGGGTCTTATAAATGGTTTTACAGCGTGCTTGATATATTAACATCTTCAACACAACCCAAAAATAAGTGCACATTACCTACCTATAAGATGAACATCAATTTCCTCCACATTCTCATTATCCATGGGAGAACATTTGTACCTTCCACCGTGGACATCGGCGGCTGAGACGAATTCAAGACCAAAAGCAATGGCAAGATTAAAACCTGTGGCAGTTTGCACTTGGTTCGTCGACAGATTGTAACTGAGGAGGAGTTGATCTGAGTTGTCAACCTTCAGCCACTGAACCTCACAGGTTGCTGTGCCTGATGCCCAGCTAATGCAAGGGAGAATCTGGCGCAATCCTTCTTGGAGATAGAAAGATGTTTCAGATGCTCTCAGGGCATTAGAAGCACCATTCTCGCCTGCAGATGCACATTAGAACATAAATTCTTTAATATGAAACATAAGCTATCTCTTCTAAAATAACATGCTCCCGACACAAGTACAGAGAAGCTGATTATACACGCTGGTTTTCTCATGGTATGTTGCACCGAAGGCAATACACAAATATCAACAACTCATCTCGACTTTAGTGGAGCGCTCTACCATTTTGTAGTTAATTAAGCTTGCAACTTGGCATGACGTTCTGCTGGGATGTGTTCCTGAGTTAAGAGGTATAAACTGATATTTCATGGCCCTGACTCATGTTACCTTTAATGTCAACATCAGTGTAGCAATTTTTGAAAGTCCCATCTGACTGGAATGCATGACACCAGAATCGCTGGTTATCATGTAGATCAGTAAGGGAGTTGACTGTAAGTGAAGCATCGCTACCAATGCTGTAATCAGCGCCATGTTGGATCTGCAGGGTGGTGCCATCAGAGAAACGTGCACCAATGATCTCTGTATCTGTAGTGACGCCCTCCCCCATTGACCAGTACACTACAGATGGTGTGTCCGGTGACTCTGACGCACACTGACATGGTAACATCTGTCTACCTCCTCGCTGGAAACTGACGGCAGATAGTTCCTCACTGCTACTCGGTGGAAAGGTGTCACCTGAAAGTCACGAAACCACAAACATGCCAGCAGACATTTATTATTGTAGGTCTATTAGGTTTATCAATCCAAATTCCCCTCGTAGATTGCTATACCAATTATCCCAGTCAAGGGAAAGATAAAGTTACACAAATTGCGGCCTAGTTTTGTAAGGAAATTTTGTGACTTCGACCTGTGTATGGAAGCAGTCTCAAGTTTCTCTCAATCCCATCGGCAAATATGAACGAACCCTTGATTCTTCTTTGACGGGAGTGTACAACAGGTTTGGAGTCGGTATGGAGAAGTGAACGTGGCCGCTCGAACACACAAAACGTCCAACCTCCGTTCTTGTCTCAATGACAGAAAGTCTGAGATTAATTATCTGGTTCTGTCGGATTCACCTCTTGGCTACTCTTCAATTTGACTACATTGTTTACCAATATTTATCTCACAAAACAGCTTCCATCTTTAATAATAAGCCCATCCACACGCAAAAACTCACCGATAACATTTATGTCAATTTGTCCAAATCTGTTTCCCGAATCAGATGGTGAAACTAAGCACAAGTACCTCCCTTCATCTTCTTGGACGACGTCTTGAATAATAAGTCGAAAGTCCAATGTTATCTCAAACCCATCTTTGCCCGGTAGGACTTTGCCAAAGTAGCGGCTAATAAGACGAACTTTTGATTGGTCGCTCATACTTTCCCCTTTGTACCAAATGACACCGTCAAGTGTTTCACCACTGCGGAATTCTGGGCAAGTCATTACGTGCCAGATTCCCCTTTGAGCATATCTTGGTGTGCCGAATACACCTCTTATTGTCTCAGCTGAAAACAAATCCAGAGATTTATATTTAGCATAAAAAAGTGCAAGTGTTATTAATTTAGTTCACTCTAAATGAGGATAGTTAACCCAGCTGAAGCGGTCTAAATGCGTCAGTAAATGTCTGCTGATGTAGATTATCCCTACGCCATAGCTGCAAAGCAGTGTGAATGAATGAGGGAAGGGAGAACATAGAACAAAAAAGTCACACAATTGAAATTCGAAGGGGCGAGGTGCTCAAACGTCAGAAGTCTCACAGTTCTAAATAGAAACAGTACGGAATATGTAAAAATACAACGACCACAGTAGTTTCCTGTGAGCCTTCTAGTGAACCATGGCTGGCACAATAGGTGGGCATTTTCTGAAAGACGTAATATGGAGTAGACTTATCACAAGTTATCTTGTGCCATACATTTTACCCTTCACCTCATTCCTATTCATATTTTTATGATCATAATTATTATGGTTATGCATATTGATGACGTGTATACGTGTCTGTATTTATATACGTATAACTTATTTGTATAGCTTTTTTGAGTTTTTATTCATTACACAATTCCTTCAATGGAAACCATGACCCCAATTTGATTGATATGCCTTTACAAACCCAAGTACATGTGCATTATTGAACATAAATCCTACAATAGTAATCTTTACTTTTTAATCGCACATCACGCTCCTCTCCGTCTTAGTATTGAAGTCATACGCTTTTACAGTTAAAATGCAGTTCGCAGAAAAATGGCTAAAACTACAAGAATACTTCAATTATGAAAAATAGGTCCCTCGCTTATTGGACATCCTCTTATACGTGGTACGAGCCGGCTCCTCAGATTATGTTAATAAGGCTGAATTTTAGCCAAATCCTACATTCCGATTGGTCGAGAGGCTACAATGATGACGTAATGTCGACTATATACTGGCCCTAGGCACTACTTAAACAGGACCAAAGCCTGGCCGTGGGGTTAAAAAGGATCAAAGCTTTGTCTTGAGGGTAAAACCAGTTGCTCCACGCTGACTGACAGTGTATACTTTAAATATTTCCGTTCTTGATAAATGAATACACTGTTTGTTGATTCCTCTCGAAGATAGAGTGGGTACCTTCATTGCGGAAATATTGATGCACCCGGATATGCTAGTTATAATTTTCAGGAAACCTAACATAGTAACTGTGTTATATGTACTTATGTTGAAACAAGAGCGGGTCGAGAGGAGGTGGACAACGGGAGTCATGCTAACAAAAGATGTGTTAATTCTTTTGTTTATTACTATCTTTCGTTTAAATACTATTTATCTTTTTAGAAAAGGCTACTCACAAGAGCCAGCGGGGCATGTGTTGTACTCTGCGGCAGATAGTCCAACATAGACACAAATCCAAAGAATACAGTAGGCCATATTATGTCATCTGATTCTCTGACCTTCTGCGTGATGAGCAAAAGATTGGAAATGAATGAGCGTAGGGGGCGTCCCATCCATCTTATAATACGTAAGTCATAAGATAACAGCATAAACCACAGAAGGAAAATTGCCACATTACCTTACTGTGAAAAGGCAATATACACGCAGTTCTAAAAGGATACCACCACTTTCGCCCTTTAATGTTTGTACATGTACAGGTAAGTAAAACCCAGTCCAATAAACAATTGTTACAAAGAATAAGTACTGCGGCACGGGATTCACAAGAGATCTCACGATTGACATCGAAACACTATCCTTTCTCAGACTGTAGGTGTAGTTCATTAGGAAAATTAAGATGACGTAAGAGTAAAAGATTCAGTGAAAGATTCTGTTTGACCTTGTTGCATCTTCTCACATACCACTTACACACTTATTACATTTCCACTTCCATTCGTCGTTGTACAGTTTACACTTTTTAGTAGCCCATTATAGTTATATTATATAAAAAAATAGTTTGTTATTATAATATAATATTATAATAGTCACGTTTCACAATACAGCTCATGAAAAATATCAGCCCACTCCTACAATTGGGTTTTTATATTTCCTTGTCAGAGTTCAAAGTGCACAGTAATGAAACCAATACAAAATGGAAAATTAATAATTGAAAATTAATCCACTATATTGCGGCTGTTGCACAGAAAATTCAAACCACTTTTTCTTTTATAAAATATTACAACAATATCAGGTTTAAAAAAGAAACTACAAGATGCTTTGTCCAGAGAAGGGAAGGTGTCACAAAATTGCTGAACAAGCAAATCTATACATTGATATCAAAGGCCACTTCGGTTTTATCTCAAAGACCGAAGCAGAGCAGGATAAAAAATTGTTTATTATGTAAATTATCTGTTCAGGACTCCCCGTGCAGTATTAAAGAAATATCTTCATGTTTCCCGTTTTTATTGTGTTTACAGTTTTAAAGTGAAAATTATATCTCTGAAAAATGTATTCAACCTGGAATGCTTGTCAAAATCTATTAAACGAATAATATTAACAATTAACACCAGGCCTAGAAAGATGCCTGCTCACAAAGATGGCCCTAATTGAAATAAATCCCCTACAACAGTAAAGGGCAGTGGTGAAGTAACCTCGTTTCGAGTGCAGTTTGGATATAAATTTTGATTTTTTTCAGTTTCCAGTTTCATTCCACCACTTCAACGACATGTCGTTGACTGCAGTGCACAACGCAACTTTTTAACAGTACTTAGTCAACTCCACTCGTTTTTCAATAAATTCAGAATTAAATTCTTTGAACGGGTACTGAAGCAAACTCTACCCGCGGTGCTTAGCATAAGTGCTCATGCACGGACAGGAACGAGACAGCCGACTCATTCTGTTTGAACTGAAACTTAACTTATGCATCTCAAATTAACTGTTTTATTAACACACCATCCAGACAGGGGATGTGCTAGTAACTTGAAAATAAAGTGTGTGTGTTCGGGGGGTCCCGAGATTTTGATGCAAAATTGCCGCCTGCTAAAGATATGAAGTGAATAGCTCATTATGGTAATTTGTAATTATTTTCAGGATTTAAATCAGACTTCTCTCTCAACACAGGCAAGACAGAAAAGACACATGGATAAATACTGTACATTTCACTCGAGATATTGAAATTGTGAGGCATGTTGAAAGGCAACATTTAATGTTCCTCATCTCACTCTTTCCACACGCACGTACGCCATGTTGACTATAGCACCAACCATGCAGATTGTCATTGTGCATGTTTTTTAATTACGGAATATGGTGGCTTATCTGGCAAATATTATAGTTGGTAGAGAGGTTCGTATAGCCTTTTAGAGGTAAACACCACAATGCCATTAAGAATAATACCAAGATAATTATATCTTACCTGAAGTGACGCAATTCGGATAATTTCAACGCAAAACGTTCAGAATACGCGACTTTAGAAACTGTTCGTATATTTGGATTTTCCAGTTTCTAAATATAGAACTCTTCCTTCCCCATTCGCTGCTAGCATATGCGCAATAACATATGTGTACACATGTACATGTAGGCTACGTGACAGCATGTGCCACGTTACTCTACGATTGGTTGTACTGCGACCTGTTTTTATTACTTATAGCCTTTGACCCGTGTATGTTCTTAGCACATGTTATTGTGCATTGCTTTAGTAGGGAACTTCTTGGGTATTGCGGCTACAGTAAAATGTGTGTAATAGGTGTGTGCGTGAGAGTTTGTGTGAAGTTGCATTGGTGGGTCTTCGGGAAAAAGCATGTTGATGATTGGAAATATATAGACTACACTTAGTTGTATGTGGACTTTAATAGTAGCGCTTGGAATTTTCTCCAAACTGGAAATAACATTCATTAAAATGTATGAGACTGCAAGAAATTAGGGCATCCGCTATATATAGAGAGAGCATGGCGCTAGATTAAATGTCAAATAATTTTTGCTGGTCATTTATGAATGTATTTATGTATCACATATTACATACCAAAAGCTTCTCCACATTTAACATCGGTTCATTTTCGGTGTGAATCTAGGAAGCTACTATATTTGCTTTCCTTGGTACAAAACAGTACAACATAACACGCGAGGTAAGTCGCGGCCGCAAGTTAAGTAAGTCGCCGCGGCGGCCGCGAGTTACTGGCAACAGCGAAAGAGAAACGCACAGCTGTGAAAGAGAAACACACCACCGTGAAAGAGAAACACACCGTGGCCCTAACGGGCTTCCGTAATATTCTACTAATGCAATTGGATACATAACCACAACTATTTACCACTGTCAACAAAACCAGTGAGGTTAAGTTACTGAATAAATAACAGTAAACCGTATTGTTTCTATTTTATAATATACAGCTTTGTAGCATTAAAGTGCATTTCGTTGGGCTCGACCGGACGACGCATACGCTGCATGTCTTTTATTCAAAGCGGATCGGGGCATAATGGCAACTGTGTTAATATTGGTAGTTGTGGTTTTCGCCTTGTTTTCAACAGGTAAGGTGGTAATTAATGCAAAACTCCCCGGTGCACAGTTAAATTTACTTGAATTTGCAGATGCATAATGCATAAAAGTCGTCACACGAAAACTGCATTGCGCTGTGGGGTGTGAAGTTTTAAAATGGACCTCATGTTTTCTATTACGCAAATGGCAATTTTAAACTTGCACCAGCAGATAAGTAGTAGAATGAACGATTAGTGGAATGACTCATGCTGCCAATTAAACGTCGAGTTTTACTTTTTAACCCCACAAATGAGGTTCCAACGAGGCTCTTTCTGTTTTTGTCCTTGCTGCAAACAGATGTGCAGTGTTTTAAAAGTGTAATTTGCCTCCTTGGAGTTATGTATCAGTTTAATACCAGTTAATGTTATCTGTTATTGTGGCAAAAATGCAGGAAGAAAACTGCATTCCAGCTCATCACTTTTGCGGAAGCTTTTTCAGTAGTAAAACACACAAAAAATACCGATAAGACACGTTGATGGTATAATCTTACAGCAACGTTCGAAAATGTTCTCCAAAATTTGATCAAGAAACCCCTTCAAAGTACATGTGTTTCCCTTTGCTCAGTAAGATCAAGAATGCTACATTAAAATGATATTAAGCAGCCATTATGTGCCGCGCGAAATGAAAAGTAGCGTTTCACCTTTTCAAACAAAGTTTCCTTCGGGATATGCACCAACACGAGATTTCCGAAATTTTGCACGGGTGGAAAGCAGATGCGTTGATAGGTAATTGTAATTTAGTAAGGGGGTCACCTCTTGACTGTGCATTATTATAGCCAAAATTTGAAATCAGCTATGAGCTTATTGTTTCACTATACCCAAGGTATTTCGGACGAGGTGCCCTTCACAGAAAGAACAAATGTCTGTGCTGAGAGCGGTGATAATTTTACATTGAGCTGCAGAGTTCCTACATTGAATAAAACTGAATTCTCCGTGAAATGGTTATTCAGAGGCTCAGTGAAACACAAATGCGAATACTGGAACGACAGTGCTGGGTCAAATGCGACATGCGACCTCACCACTGTTGTTTTTCCAGAATCGGAGGGTGAGTACACGTGCGAACTGACAGATCCGTACAATGATGAAGGTCATGAGCAGCAGAAAACGAATCTGCAAGTGGGCAACTGTGGTAAGTCACTTAAGATAGGTTATAAGTATTCCAACTTTCCGTTTTTGTTAAAAAGGTGAACCCATTCATGCTACTGGTCCTTGATTGAAATGATAAACAGTGAGTGCAGCTGTCCAGACTTCTGCCTTTGAGGATCTTATTGAAAGGCGTAATTTTGAGGAAAACTACAAAGGCAAGCTTTTCTACTTGATTCCCGAAGCTTCGACTATCAAACAAATTCAAATTTCAGAACTTCCGATTAAATCTCCCGGGTAGTCTCTGTTTAGAAATGTTTTGTGATACCGGCAAAGTATATAATGGAGTCTCTTCATCTGGAGCCTTTTTGGATTTTCTCACTCTCCGTAATATCCCCAAGGTCCCAGTACTTTAGTCAGCATTGTCGATCCCAGCACCGAAGCAGTCCTTGATGACCCCCAGTATGGTAGTATTTGCGTCCAGTCCGGTTCAACGCGGCTCTTCCAGTGCCTCATTCAGAGTACCAGCCCATGCGTCTATAACATCTCCTGGATGCTTGGACATGAGATTGCCATCGGCACTGCTGCGGCCCTGTCACCGTCCAGCGGGGGACCAATGGTCAATGTGAGCAGCTTTCTGAGCGTGCAACACCCACGAAACGAGACCCGAGGAAGCAACCTTTCTTGCATGGCAACGAGCAGACAAGAATGCAAGTCTCTGAATAGCACTATACGGTTAACTTTTTGCCCAGGTGAGCTTTATCAAAACACTGAAATGCTAAGTCCGGCCGCGTTTCTTCTTTGCAGTCATTTATTTCATTTGGGTACTGACTGTCATTGCGGTGGTTAATATCCCCTAAAAAGGTACTTAGGCCTAATCATCACAGGCAACCATTTTGATGGCTTGTTTACAAAATTGATTTGCCGCCGTGACTAAGATAAGGGTGAATATCTTTAACAATGGAACCAGTTACTGTAACAGCTTGAGATTATTTCTTTTGGATTCTTTTTTTCTTTTTTTGTTGTGTTCAATCTTGGCTTGTGATGCAAAAGACAGCAGAACAGTGAAATTTCAGTAGGGGTACATGTGACAACGGTGGAATGCTGCCAACAACCTCGCATTCCATCTAACAAAGCTTCTGTCCCCAACTTACCCATCCGTATACTCCAATTTAGTCGTGCCTTACATTAGTGCAGGCCATAAATATTCAAAAAGCTGAAGCAATTCTAGTCAGGATTCCTAGGTCTACAGGTAGTACGCATGTGTCCTTTCTTATATCACGCGACCTTCGACGTAAATGACGCGGTTTGTGGGAGAGATTATGGGTAGGATATATTTTAGGCACTCGATCAGACCAACGTGACGGATATTTTTCACTGATGCCCAAAATAGAAATTTTCAGATGCTGTAGGGATGCCTGACAAGAGAATATGGTTCGTGCAAAGGGCGTGTCCTCGCATTGATGTAGTTGGCAACACGAGGGTGGGTTTGGTTCTGCGTTCAAGTGGGGACCCTGAAAAATAGAGGACAAAAATATAAGGTCCCCGATTGACAACCGTGTACAAAACATATGGGTGGTCTTCTGAAAAAGTTGAAGTACGAACCAAAGATGAACAAATGGAGGTCCACAGTTGCAGGCAAATATACACTTGCATGTTTTGGTTACCTGGTGATACCATTACAGATAACAGCAACATTTTGTTAACAAATGTAACCTAATGAATTCCCTTTTCTCGTAGGTTCAGAATACGAAAAGACAGTGATCGGAGTTCTCATTAGTCTTTGCGTGGCTGCGACGATTGCAGCTCTCATCGCCGAGGTCCTTATTTACAAACACTATAACGGATAAATCTTTAGAGCAGAGAATACGTTAAGTGACATTGAATTGAAGTTAAATCGACTATTATTAATTTGAAATACCGATCGACTTCTTTGATATATTTCTAATCTAAAGAACTTCTGTGGCACTACGTGACACTTAGCTAGTTATGCATTTATTTATAAACCGCCCATTCTGACTGGAATGTGTCGTGAACAGTGTCACTGAAATGCTCTTCCTAGAGCACGTCGTATAGTACTTTATAAAGCAGCTGTAATTGAAATGTTCTTTTTGTGTTCACTCAAGTCGCACATGTAGGTCATGTTGTAATGTAGATTTAATTTCTGTACTTTGCAAATTAATACAATGTGAATGCAACACTATCAATACAGATAGTGGCAGGGGTGCAAGGAGGAAGCCCATCCTTACACATGGGTCCCATTTGTGAAATGATTTATTAATAAATTAAACGTTTTTCCCATTATAGCAAAAGTATCCTAGCATCCAAGATCACTGAATTCTCAGTACTGCAGAAGTTGATCACGTATCACATTTTCTTAGAGCACACTACACCGAACATTTTTGGTACAAAATCGGCATAATCATACATAAGTTTGAAAGGAACCAGTTTCCTTACAATGTCATCCTTGCTCATGGGGACTCTCAGCAAATGAACTTCAAATTGGTAATTTTGGAACCACATTATTCATGAAAAGTAGACACCAATTAGGTGCCCTTAGTTTGAATTGTGCATGGATATGAATGATATCTAAAAACGCATTCCTGGTATTAAATGTACAAATCATATAAGCGTCCATGAAACACAAAAACAAAAGCTACATCGTGGCATAGGCCAACTCAAATCGTGCAAAATGTTGCAAATCAGATTTTCTTTTAAGATCAGATTTTTTTGCTTACCTTTACTATCAGATTTGGGGCTTCATTTTTAACCAATTCGTTGAAAATGGTAGTGGATTTAATTCCTTCCTTTAATTCCGTTTTTATAACAGCAGTTTGCTTAGTTTTTATTTCATCAGGTTATATTCTTGAGTCGTGTAATGGTGAATGTGTCATATTTGCATAATGGAAAGAGTGAATTCCCTGCCATTGCACACAATTAGCATTAATTCATGGGAATGGTTGCGAAATAGCATTGTTGGGAACCATACAGCACTGCTGCGAGAGATCGAAGTTGAAAGTTCACGCTGTATAAACAAAGTTTTTAAAAGCACTGATCGCCACTTGGCATTCCTTCATAAGTGTTATCTGTGCTAGATTTAGTTGACGACAGTTTCATGTTCATGCATATGTTATCTAGTGTCTTAATGTTTGCCGGAGGTTTTTACAATTTGGAATGAGCTTTCTTGGACATGTTGCTTCCCTCTGCCGTGAGGAACCGGTAGCAGGGACGTGACTCTTCATGTTTCCCAACGAAAATACCGTACATCGTTGGTACAAAAAAAATACTTCGTGCAATGCAATTCTGTATTGAACAGCAACTAACCTGGTTTGTATTGAAAAAAGCTCCTGAAATGTGCAGGCTAACAGGCTGAAATGAAACCAAGTAAACATGTGCATTAATAGAAATCGAAACAGTTTCATTTAATCAAACTATGAGAGTAAAAACAAAAGCAATATCAGTGATGGAAATGTGATTAAATCTTTTATAAACAGAACTGTCAAAATAAATATGTACAGATGTACATGAAATATACCTCCAGGCTCATTGATTTGATGTGATCACTGTCGCATTCGAATTGCTTGAATTAAAAAAATAATAGCTAACAATAAAGTATTGCTTCCTCGTATACCTGCCTCTCTGCACGAAGCTGTAAAACTGTATAAACATCATGCAGTAATGGCTACACCTGCAGGTATACGTCTTCAGTCTTTGCCTTTGCCTCGTTTTATGTCAGGGATCGACCGTATCAACAATTTGATATTCAACTAGGAAGCGTACGCTAATTTCAGACAACGATAAACATGTTTTAACCTCGAAGGGTCATGTCCTCAGGAGGTTGCCGGACGAGTTAGCTCACAATGACAATGAAGAGAACCCAAGCAGTCACGGTATCATGAATGGATTGTGACATTTCTGATGTTTCCAACATGTTTATAAGAATTTTCGCCGATTCAGAACGTGCTCCGGTAAAGAAGAAAGCCGGCAGTAAAATGCATCACAGCAGTATTTCTTATCTGACTCCTGTGTCGGTTTTATATATAAGAGATATTTTACAATATTTAAAATATTGCCAAATCGCTCAATTCTAAAGATTGTGGTTTCAACTCTTGAAAATATGCATGACCATCTGAACACGACAAGTTAAGTAGTTTAGATAGTAAGAAAACGAAAAATGAGATTTACGTAACTGATTTTTCGTGGATTTTCGAAAAAAAAACGCAGTCTCTTAACCATTTATAGTGGCAGACCAAGATTCTCGGTCATACATTCATACACTGAGTCATTCAAAGTTTTTGATGAATCTGGCGATCAATCCTTAGCTAAGGTTTTAGTGAACCGGGTGGCGATCAATCATCCCCTTGTGTAAGATTCTGGTAGGATTGTGCTCACTGCACAAGGGTAGCACACATTTAAACTGCCTCTGTTTGGCTTAATTCAACCCAAGTCTACTTCGGTGATAATTTATCTCGTGCTTTGAAGAAATATCGGCTGAAGATTTTCATTTTGTTCCTCAACAAAAGGAGCTATTTTCGTTTTATTATCGTTTATTGTTTTGCTTCCACGATATAAACATACGGATAATAAACTCCTGTACACCAAAAGAAAAGTTGGTTTTATCCAAATAGTAAATCAAAAGTTCGAAGGCCTATATTTACCCTGAAGGAGTTTTTCTCAAAAGCTTAAAGAAAGATTCTGCTAGTGTCAAAGCGTCAGGTCCTAGGACTTTTTTGATTAGTAATTTAGGTCACTGTAGCCAGCAACTGGTTTGCAGCAGTTTTTGTATTATACATGCTCTAGTATCCAAACTGTAAAGGATAACACCGAAATCAGTATAACGGGTATATTGCGCATGCGTGATCATGTTGTGAAAGTGAGCAGTAGAAAGTTGAAGGTAGGTTTGTTGATGCGTCATCATGTTTCGCAGCCTAAAATAACTTGCCGTTTTAGAAAATTAAAGGGAAGGAATTCAAAATTGACTAATATTAACTGACGTGGACAAACGTAGCTGACTCGGAGACGAGGAATACGCTAACGGCATGCAACACAACACAACGGGTTTAAAGGCGGGATAACGCTTTAGTATACACAAAGGGAAAATTTGTAAAAGCCGAGTTCCAAATGGGAGCATTGTGATTCATGAAATGGAAGCTTCGTATGATTAAATGCATAATGTGACCCGGTACATCGTAATCAGGAATAAGTCGCTGATGCCATTTTTTGTAATGGCTGAGTAAAGTGGGGTTGTTGGCAAATGTTGAAAAAATTAATGTGGCGGTTTCTGTGTATTTTGAAAGTGTATATATGACAGGTCACTCTCAACACACGTCTGATGTGTGCCATTTAAAAGCTAATGAAATCCTCTTTCTAATCATGTGCATATCTCAAAAGGTCAAAGTTTGCGACTTATTCCTGACTACAATGTACCGGGTCACATATATTATGTTAAAAGTTCTTTAACCAACTGCGCCCCCTCCCCATCTCCCTCTTTAGATAAATCCATTTTTCCACAGAAACTTTCTTTAAGAGATTTTTAATGCTGCTTTAAAAGCTACTCAATTCATTGTACATTTGCCTGAAGTTGTAATAGAAGGCCTACTTTCTCGATCTCCCCAACATTTCTTCAGCTGGTTGGATAATACACCGGGCCAGCCAGCATAATCATTGAGATGTAGCTTTGCATCATGTCTTTGGCCGCGGTCCAAAGACAGTGAAACAGCTTGATCGGGAGAGATAGTTTAGGGACCTCGTTTGCGCACTGACAGTCAGCCAATCAGCAGTTTGTATCAACGTTACCAACGCTATTCAAACTAAATCGGCAATCCCAATAACCGAAAAAAAAAGACGCAGGAAATATCACTTATTTCAAATGCATGTCACAATGGCTATGTCCTAATGCCATCCTCCGGATTGCTGATGTTCACGTGACAATTAAATTTTGCTAAAGAGGAATTTTGCTTGCATTTAATGCAACCAAGGCCTTGAATCCTTGATACAAAGAATATAGCCTGAGGTGGAAAAAGTAGGAAAACAGGTTGCGTCCCATCCAAATAAGCCTGTGGGTTTATTTTCGCATATTTTCGGACAGGGGCTGAGTATAGTTTAATAAAGGTCTGCGTGAGGGAAAAACGTGAGATTAAAATCAACATCTCCGTGACGAAAAATACATCTTGAAGTGATACTGTAGGTTTGTTGATTTCTAGTTGGAAAGTGAAGTCGTATGTGGAAAACGAAGAGGGTATTAAACATGTTTTAAAACTTTCCTCAGGGGACTGCATTATTCGCAGAATGTTATGTCAGATGTGCAATGCTAGGTCATTCATCCCAGGTTCTTTTGTATAATTATTCAGCTGTCAACTGAGAATTATGCTTAATGGGTGCTGTGGTACACCCCGACTCCTATAGACCTCTCCACTAATAAATTCATTCAATATAAGTGGAATTTTAGGTTCTCTGTAAAAAGACTTTAAAATCTTGATTTTTCCTGTGCGCCGGCGAGATTGTCGCTTCTAGTACGGTCCCTTCCATCGTTTGTAGTTTTAACTAAATCGTTAGTGTTCTCGGATCCAACCTGTGCATATGTGAAAACTGATGTTCAATCTACCTCCATGGTGCAATGTACATGTACAGGTACTATGTATCCATTCGATTTGCCTTTCTACACTTGGGAAATCTGAAGAAGTAGATATCTTTCTCTTTGGAATCAACACTTTGGCTTGTACAACCCCACGGCAAACACAACGAGTGGATACCATTTCTTTTGATAGTACTCCCAAACTATGACTAGCTAGTTAATGGTAGCTATGTACACGGACGTACAGTATACGTGTACATTGAACATCGATCAGTCCGTGTTTTTACAAAATGCACAGGTTAGCTCCAAGAACACTAACGATGTAGTTTATACCACTTATGATGGAAGAGGGCCACACTAAGAAGCAACGATCTCGTGCACGCAGGAAAAATTACAGTTTAAAAATTTTTTACCACAGCACTATAAATTCCAATTCAATCAGAAACTATTAGCAAAAACGATTTGATTGGATTTTCTGAAGAAAAAAAATGAACAAAGTCAGAAAACCGGAGAGAAAATTACCATCAAACTCGCACCCTTGTACATTTTCAATGGCCGGCTCACACTTCTTGCCACCAAGGCCGTTTGTGCGCATGCGTGCATAATAATGAATTTAGTGAAAAGGTCTATTCTTCATCACCTCGCTCGGGCCTTGGGTTCCCAAAGAACGTGTTTGACAATATACATGTACGTTTGCATTCATGGTTTGTGTAAATAAACACAAAGATTGCATTGCTGTATTGTAAACATTGGCCGTGTATTTAGACGTGACCCCTGACCCTCGTCGTACTAGACTGGCCTTATTGCTGCTGCCGTTGCAGTGCCATGACCCTGGATCGCACTCATATTGAAATATTATTATCATTGTAGCCCCAGTAGTAACCAGTATTATTTTCATATTGATACCCGCACTTCTAATTTAAAGGGACAATGGAATAGAATGTTTTATTCAATGTTACTACCCCCATCGCACCTTTTAAATTCATCTAACCCAGTTCTGAATTATTGTTTTTATATTATTAACCCATTTTTTCTTGCTTTCATGTTTTTTATGCGAATATAAATTTCCATATCCGTGAGCAAAACTATGGGTCACCCCAGGCGGTGAATCTGTGTGTAATTTATGCGCAAAGAATTTCTAGATCTTTTGAACACTGCTATCGTAGATTTCATTTCCTTTGGCAATTTATAGTTGTGGAAGTATAATGCAAATAAGCCAGCAAGCAGAAATGTTTTCAATTTATAACAAATTTGGAGTTCCCAGTTTGACCATGAATATGTGCATAATAAACAGTGTCTTCAGGTCCTCGATTTACATCTAGGCAAAAGCTTCGTCACTTGTCCGGAAATTCTTGGTTAATTTTGAATGTAAAGTGGATGTTGCAGTTCACCTTACTCGAAATAAGATTCCACAAAGTCTTTATACATTGTAGAAGAGTTCAGATATGCTTCTGAGAAAACTTCATTGCATTTCAGTTATTCTTGAGAATGACATTGGTGTATGTTGTGCCAAGGGGGAAATATCGTTATACCAACACTGGAAGAAGGCTATACACTCATGGTTCCCTCTGGATGCTGTGTTACATCAAGGATGTCTAACATTAGGGCCTACAATACACAATACAGGCACAGTAATCTACAGTGTTACTGCTGTATAAAAGAACAAAGGAAAAAAATCTTTTTTTCTTGGCCGCATGATCATATTGCAGGTTTTATTGCAAGCGACAAGAAATTAATACACATTTGAAGCATGTTATCAATCTCCAGCTCTTCCTTTCAAAAATAAATTTCAATCGTTCGTAATTTCGATACACTGACAGTCTTAGCATTTAATTAATGAGTGAGCTTCTTTCAGGCTCAGTTGAAGGCAAGCTTTAGGGAAAATATTATTTGAAATGTGTATTTCATGTAGAAGCAAATCACATATGACGTTGCTCTCATTTCGTTAAAATGTAATAAACGTAATAATTCACGAAATCGGCAAACCGTGGACACTATTTTGTAAAACAAGTATTTATAAAACCATCCAAAACTTCAAAAGTCCCGACCTGGTCGGTGTGGCACAATGAAACGCTTCAGGATAAAATGCCAATATATTGTCAACATGAAAATTCAACATTGAGAGGAGACCGTATGATGCAAAAGAAAAGAGAATGTGTACAATTTGAAAATTCTTACAGGAATAGTCCAAGACATCGATGTACAAGCAATAAGTATGCATACGTACATGTGCTTAACGTGTACCAACGCAGTCGTTGACACATGGATAATTGTGGCAAGAAATATATGAAGCAGACAAAGAAAATAACATTTTAAAAATCAAAGAAGTGTTCTCGACACCAAATAAATCTCAGTTTATACATGTACTGTGAACATCTCTACTTACAGAGCTCAAGGAGACTAATCAAATATCAATTTTATCAAACAGATTCCAAACAGCCAAAGCTCGCCACTATTCTCTTCAACAGTGCTATGTCATACAAAGTCAAATGTTCGTGACTGAATACAGAATAAATGTACCATTTTGAAATGTTCGTGCAATATTTAAAATTACGTTTGAAATGATATTTATACAATTGAACATTTGTTTGTAGCGCATTAAATATTCATACTTATGATCAAAATTGAACTCTTTTATGCACCAGCAAACTCAGTCAGGCAATCTTACTCACTGTAATGACTGCACAATAATTAAATGGTTTAAAAGTTTACGTATCTTGGACCAATATAAGCTGTTCCGTCAGGAGCTGAGTAAAAAGTCCACAAACTTGTTTTTATTTGGTGTTATGCTTTGCAAGAATGTTTCATCCTCGAGAATTGCTAAATTCTCTAAATCAAAACAGCTGCATTAGTCATAACGAAAAGCAAACGTGTCAAGGAAGGATTATTTTCAATTAACGCTTGTATAAAGTCAGAATATTGACACACAGCAGGATCACAGCGCTTCTGTTTGTTAATCCGTCCACTGTTTCTCTCCTTGAATATCTTTTGAAGTATGATAAACATTCAGCGGCGTAAATCTATGCAGGAAATGGGGGATTGGGAAAGGTGGGGGGGCAACTTGCCCGGCCATTCAAATTTGAAAAGGGGGGCAGGGTACCATACGATATATTATGGTCGATGTTCATGATTCTTATGTACATCTGTAGTAAAAATTCAGAATTGTATATTCATGGCTTTACAAAGTTTTCTCTTTTTGAGTGATGATAAGTGCTTTTAGTAGTTGAAAGTCTGAAAATATCTGTTCATTACCGGTGTGTGCGTATTTCAATTCCTAAGAGTGTCCTTTCTATTACCCCTGCCAGGATGACCGAATTAAAAGTTACTGGGCTGTGATTGTTACTCAATATACAATAAACTGTTCAATTTAAAACACACGCTTTGATTCAGTTCAGTCAATATTACATGTACACAATTCTTACGTTAAAGTTACAGTTACAGTCACTTCGTGACTTCAAAACTTTTTTCGCCACACTTTGAAAAGGAATTACAGCCCAAACCTTGTTCTATATTTTTATTTGTGGCACTGCAAAATAATCACATGATTCTGCTTTTAAGCGACTCCGTTCTAAAAGATTAAATCGTATATGGGTACCACGAATCTGATGAAAAACTCCAAATATCAGGCAAACTGTACAGTAAAATTAAGCCCAAGACCTCGATCTGATTTACCATTCAACAATTATTCCACCAAATATGTTTCAGCGGATTTAAGAAATTGGATATAGCAGGTGGCACGAAAAACTACTTTTGTCAGAGTATTTTTCAACCATGCCGGGCAATATTTTTTTTTTCCGTAGGGGGGTTAGTCAAAATAACATGAGTTATCTATGAGGCCTACTTCTTAATCAACTGAACTCCAATGTCTCAGCATACGTACCGCCTGTACACACATACAGTACCTGTGTGTACCGTGACTGCAACCCGATCACTTGACGTTTTATCCTGTGAATGTTTCGTATTATATGCTGAGAAAAGAAGATAACCAGGTTTAAACAATAACTTTATTGGTTACATTTTGGATAGTTGCAAAACGCGTACTTTCTCTTGAAATTTAGTGCCCTCACCAGTTTCTGAATAGTTTATATATGCACATGATCAAGTTCGACTCCTGGGTATATGATCCAATTTGGACACTCACAAAGTCGGTAGAAAGATTTTTAACAATTGTGCATATCAGAAAAAGTCCGATTTGAAGAGTACAGCATGCATGAATTCTTAAGCCGATCCTTGACAACAGCTTCTACTACAGGGAGCACTTCATTAAATGCAAATGGTATTGGAGCGTGATGGAGTTTGTCTATACGTGTCCTTTGCTGTAGCATATACATGTAGATGTAGCACTAAACCCCGGCCAGATCTTTTTGCTGCCACTGCCGCTAGCCCTGCCGATCCCGCATCGGCCTCATCGGGGAAGGCTTGCTATGGACGTGGGCTACTACCTTTATGATCTTCGTTCGCGAAGCCAAGCCAAGAAACACTTTACATGCACACACATCATGTATACCATTCACAGTGTACTGCAACCGAGTGAAAGATCACTTAGTTAACAATACAGGCAAAGAAATTATGCACAACTGAATTTTTAGTATTTCATGATAGTTGATTTTCTGACATGAATAATACTGGATGCTAGCTGTTTGCGTTCATCAAAATTGCGCCAGCAGAATGATCGGAAAGGTGTGATCATCAGATCACGGTCACGGTTCACACACACACCTCCCCATAAACTGCGCGTAGGCGGAATGTGCTGGGTCAACGGAGTTCAGTTGAGCAATATGGCCTCATGAATAATTCATGTCTTTGACTCACCCACTTGCTGGGCATCCCGACGAGAGAACTGTCTATACTAGAGCATAAATGTCGCCCTGACTTGGGCCTTAGTCGTTTCATCGACCCCTGCATTGTCTGCCATAGCATCGCCGTCGTTGCTTTGCTTTATTTGGGTGTCGGCTGTCTTGCCAATTGTATTACTTGTGTAATCTGCAGCTGGATGGGCGGATTCGTTTTCCATTTTTTGTCTAGTAGCAGTCTTGCGAACAGTGTCTCCCTGTGTGTCTACAACAGGATCGCCAACGCCGTCTGTCGGTGTTTTCCCAGTGGCACTACCACCGACTGATTCTCCTGTGTCTGTCCCGCCATTGGAAGAGCCGCTTGCCACTCTTTGCCCTACGGTGTTTCCACTACCTGGCTCCTCTTTGGTTTCGCCCGCCTTTTTGGCGGCATCATTTGGCGTGCTTAAGTCAACGGTAGTCTCACTTTGCTTTACTGTATTTTCTAATCCTTTCTTCTTTTCGGCTTCGTCCACTGCGCTGTTTACCATGTTTTGCTTACTGTTACCTTTTGCTTTCTGTTTGGTGTCTGAATCGCCTCTGCCGCTTGTTCTTTTAAGTCCTAAGTCAGTCCCAAGTTGTTTCAACTGTTGACCGAACCCCTTATTTTTGGGAAGTTTCAAAGACGCCAATCTTTCTTTTACTGCTTCCATGTTTTTGATTGAGAGGACTTTGAGATTTCGCATGATCTTTTCAGTTGTCATATTTTTCACAAACCCTTGCAGGATATCCTCTTGTATGTTTTCGTTCTGATTAGTAGCAGAAAGATGAAAACGTTTGACAAAATGAAAATAGTTTAAACTGTCCGAAAGAAATCTCAGCAATTTCTCAGCAGGTGATCCATGCAGCAGATACAGTGTCTCCAGTTTTCCCCAAGGCCATCCTTTATTCTTGTCCATTTCCTTCTTGACTTCATCAAACCCAGCGATAGTTACTTTGTACAGAGACAGTCGAAGGTCAGACAACTTTGGGCAATCACGTAGAGGCAGATTTGTTACCGCTACGAAGGCTCTGTCATCAAACAGCTTATTCAGACGAAGATCCAACTTCTTCAGGTTCTTGAGTTGGTGTGCACCTTTCGCAAAATCACAAATCGCGTCAGAACTGAAAATAGTCCCAACAAGAACGAGACTTTCAAGCATTTCCAGACGAGGAAGGTAACGAGCTAAGTCTCTCGACGCACCCGAAGTGTGGCACTCACCACCCTGTGACTCAACAAGCTCTTGCAGACACATTGACTGCACCGTGTGAAGAACACTGCCATCAGACTGCTCAGCGGGAAACGTAGGCATGTCTGGGTTTGTAGATTCTATTCTCTCACGCAGGCTTTTGAGTAAAGCCAGTTCCTTCGTACCGCCAATTAGCTCATACGATGCAGCATCCACATCAGATGACTGACGATTTTTATCGTCACAGTTCTCATCTCCATTGGTTGAGGTGGTGTCTTCAGGTGATAGTTCTGTTGGAAGTGATTTGTCATTCCGTTTGTCAAAATGTCTTGCAGGTGCCTCGGGGTCTGGTTGCTCACTTCTCGTCTGTGCTTTCTGGGACCGGTATTTATCAGTTCCGGATTGGTTAACTTCAGCAACGGGTTTGTTTTCTTGATCAGTTTGAAGGGTGATCGTGACCAAAGAGGTCTCTTTGTCCGTCTGCAGGTCTGCTAGCTTTTTTATTTTTTCTTTGGATTTAGAAGATGTAATACATTCTTGAATCTCCGACCACTCATTTTTACCAATTCGGAACAACTCCACAGACGTTGCATTCAGCTTGCTGCCATTTTCTGGTGTTGCATGCTCGAAGAGGTACGCCAACAATCTCAGCTTGTAACTCGAGATTCCAATTAAGCGAACCCTTCCTTCTCTGAAGACCCCTTTAAGTTTTTTGTTTATGGCTCCCTTACACTTCCCTTCGAAATTTGCCTGCAGGGACACTTCTACGAGCGTCTGCAATCGCGGTGCTACTTGTAACAGACTACCTCGGTTGGGCCTAGCTTGCTCCCCTTCGATCATTTTTGCCAAATGTTTGACAACGGCATCCCTGTCAAATTGTTTGTCCTGGAGGGCAAAGTGCAAAATATAGGCAAACCTTTCCATGTATTGTCGTTCACCAATACTTGCAATTACAAATAATTCGTTCACTTTATTAACAGACTGGGCCAAGAACATAGCAACACACAAATCATGGAGAATCTCCAAGACAAAACAATACCTATCATCTTGAGGTTCATTCAATGGAGTTAACTCCGCTGTCGGCTGCAATTCTTGATCGGTTTCACTGTGACGCTTTTGCGGGCAACAAAGGCACCCCTTCCTTACCTCTACTTCTGACACTTGCAATAAAACAGCCTCCGTAGTTTGCTGTATAGAATCGTTCTTGGATTCAACTTTCAAGTGACAAAGAAGTCCGATTTGACTTGCAACTTTTAGAACTTCCTCTCCCTTTTCAGACGATTTTAAGAACTGTTCTTTGTCAAAGTCTGTAAGAGTTTTAAAACTTTCGACCAGTCTTGGATGAGCCATCCTACCAAGTTCTGCAAGTACGTTAAGCTGATCTTTGATTAACTGATCGAGCTGGTCTCCCTCAGTGATTGCAACTCGGGTATCATTTCCTTTAGCATGAGCATTTTTGTCAAACAAGCATTTGACCACTCTAATAATCAAATCAGCCATGGTAACGTCAGGTTTAAAGGCATCTCCCTTTGTCCAGATCGACATCTGACAAAGAGCTGTCAGTACAGCCGGAAGGCTTGAAATGACCGGTGGAAGAATGTCTTCCTTTAAGTATTTGTGAAGGTTTCGTTTCTTTTTAGGGCTTTGCGTTTGGGCAGTTTCCGCCTTTTCTTCAGTGGGTGTGGCCTTCTCTTGTCTAAGAGGAACGGATTCTTCCCGCTCTTGTGACTCTGATTGTTTATTTTGCGGGACATCAGCGGAACCCGGTTCTTTGGTTTTAGTTTTGTCTGGTTTGTGCTCAGGGGTAGCTTTGTTTCTTTCGTCAACAGTATCCAACACGGCATTAACATAATCAATGGCACTTTTGAGCGTAAACCCAATAATTGTGACATGGCGCATGTTATGTTTTTTTGACACAACCTCAGCAAGCTCTGCTTGTCTTGTGGTCAACACTAACTGGCAGTCAAGAAGGTCTTGGTGTGTCAATTTGTCCATGACGCTGTCAATGTCTTCTTTGTCATTGCAACCGTCGATCAAAATTGTCAGTTTGCTTTTGTCTTTTGAGTAGTACTTATCAATGGATACTGCGGAAATGTTTGCGTCTCTTTGAAGCATGTTTTCAACAACTGCTTCGCCGATTGATCTGGCACGAATAAACGTTTTGGCAGTGAACAGAAAAACCATCCTGTCGCAACCAAAAACGGCATGTTCCCTTCCATTGGCCCAGTCATACAGTAACCTGTACAGACAGGTAGTCTTACCACTTCCCGCCCTGCCCTGTACGATAACATGCTCATTTGCCAATTCTGAAATGCCATCACTGAAGATATGTGACTCTGAATCTAATTGATATTTTATGCAACTACCTCCAACGTAGGCGTTGATGAAAATCCTCAAGGGTTTGTAAACCGTATCTATTGGTGCAGAGCATGCGAGATCGCCGTCAGTCCACGGTGTGACAGGAATCTTGCCGAACTTCTGGATCACAAAACTTTTGACCTTGGTGGCAAGCGTCTTCACGTCCAACTCTTTGATAGAATCTGTGAAAAATGTAAGTATGAATTGTCAACTCATATCACTTGCATGCCACGATAAAAGAACCGGACCAGTGTTATACTGTAATGTTTATCGAAAACACTCCAAACATGTTAGCGTAAATTAGTCTGAACTATAATGACTGTAAATCAAGATGTACGAAATTACCTCAGGAATTTGAATATGTCAAACACTGGGAAATGGATCACCGGGTTGCTGCAAATGATCATCTTATTACGTCACTTACCTTGCTTGTCAAGTCTTTTGTAGTCACCTCTCTCCTTGTCATCTTTGTGATGCAGTGACTTGGAGCGTTGCCTCCAGGTAAGGAAAACAATGATAGCAGAAGCAGCAACCAGGAAGATGACTAGAATGATGGCCAGAGTAATGACGAGGGCGAGGGATGTTTCAAATTCACCGTCTGACACTGAGATGTAAAAAGTAAACGCAAACACCTTGTGGGAACACTCATATAAACGGGTCGTTCAGTATGATTCTGTCGGAGATTATGATTAAATTAAACATGTGTACACAGCAATATGCCAGTATTCAACACAAAACACGAGGTTGGTGCAGTAACGTTTCCGACGGGGTAAATGTTCTTATGTAAACAGAATCGATCAGTTGATGGTCTCTCTCAGTGGTGTTCAGCGTTTCTTTCATTCCTTAAAGTTCCAAAGAGATATACTTTAATACAAAAATGTTTGTGTGTGACACAATTGTTTATACATTCTTTCTTAAAGAAATAGCTACCTTCCTAATTTTTTTTTTTATAATTGCACTTCCACACGTTCGCATTTGACAGTCATGGTGCCAGCATTTGATACACACGGAAAGGCAGGCACCCCCCCCCCATCTACCGCAGATGCTGTCAAACTAGGCGCCTGACCTACAGTGGGTATCTATTAACAAAATGTGGCGTCTTCCCATAGCAAATTGTGTTGCGTTGTTTGCAAATACACAGCACAGCAGAAGTCCTGGAGTACTGAACCGACTGTTGGCTTTACTTGGGGGAAATGACACTCATGGCGCACTTTACGATTGAAGGGCGTCATGTTTGCCAATGTTTGATAGTTGACGTGAGTAACTGGAGACAATCAGTCTATTGTATTAACAATATTAGTAAAACAGCTCTTTGCTCCATTTCCACGCATTATGGAAGTTTATGTCGCTGGTACGCAGAATCTACCGCTTTGGTTCCAATCTTCGCTGTATTTACCGGTAGGTTAGTTCTGTTGTTACTTTTACATCAACATTGCTCTTCTGAGCATCAACATAACTCTGTCTACACATCCCTCACGTCTACACATCCCTCACGCCTACTTGGCCCCTGAAAGACTGTGTGCATTTGTTTGTATAAGTGGCCACCAGGCCCATCCGCCCGTATGATACAGGGGCTCATTAGAAATTATGGTGTCGCCGGTTAACCTCCTCGAAATTTTGGTTTAAGAATCACATTCATTACTTCTGAAGGAGTGCTTTTCCTCTAGAATTGCTACAGTAACGTTTGTCAGGCCTATAGGTTTGCTAAAATAGTCCGCCAGAAAAGCATCCCACCTTTTATTAAGACATATGACCTGATTAGATTGTCATTTGCAGGAAAGACGTGGCACCAGTATCTGACGTCACCATCTTGGGAACAGTTGTTCAGCAGGAGAGATCTGTTCGTTGATACACCAAGACAGCTGTGGTTTTTTAAGCTGTTCATTGTGTGAGAACCATCTAGTAGATTGAAGGTACCAATCACAGTGGTTGACTGAGCATCCGGTGATCCATAGGACCAGATCAAAGTCCCCTTTGTCCTTGCGATGCCAGACAGAGCAGGACAATGAAGTGTGAATCTAGTATGAGGTCTAAAGGTCACTGGGTCACCTTCTATGGCACTACCACTGTCCAATGGGAACTGATCTCCTGCATGAAATTCGAGCAAACGTAGAAAATAAAAGACAGAAAAGATGCGCAAAGACAGTGAGAACAAATGCTAATTGGGCGAAAGACCCAGCTTAAGAAACAAAAGTTCAAGCATATTAAGCATTCTTTGGATATCCTTGCAACTGTAATGTGAGCCCAAAAATCTAAACTCTAGAAAGGCAATCAAATCTACTGGTACCTATCACTCGGACTTCAATTACTGCCTTGCTTCTTTCTCCCACGCTACACTGATATTTTCCATCGTGGTCATCATCAGGTGACTGAATAACCAGACCAAAGTCACTTGTTAGATTAAATGCAGGACTAGAGTCAACGACGACGGTCGACAGGTTGTAGATGACAACTTGTCGCTCTGGGTTGCCGAGCTTAATCCACTCAACGTCACAAGCGGCGTCACCAGGTGTCCAACTGATGCAAGGGAGAACTTGCTGCATGCTTTTTTGCAAGTAGTAAGATGTCTCAGACGCTCTCAGGGCATTGCCATTGGTTTCCTTTTCACCTGTGTCAAAGAGACAGTAAAATACAGAAAAGTAAAAATGGTCCGAGGAAGGATGAATAACAAGCACACCGGTAAAAGTTATAAAGATACTAGTGGATTAACTTTCCTTCTTTTGATGTTATGTATTTTATAATTGTACATATCTTGGGCATTTTCTTACATTTAGTCAACACTTGAACATTTCGTCGTGAGTAGAGCTCTTTGTTTTACCTGAAATTCTAACATCAACGATGCAGTTTCTTAGAGTAGAGTCCGGTTGGAATACATGACACCAGAATTGTTGGCTATCTCGTAAATTGTTCAGGGTGTTTACTGCAAGAGAGGCGTCGCTACCAATGCTGTAATCAGCACCATGTTGAATCTGTAGGGTGGTGCCATCAGAGAAGCGTGCACCAATGATATCTGTCTCTGTTTTGACGCCCTCTCCCATTGACCAATACACTACGGATGGTGCAATGGCTGACTGTGATGCGCACTGACATTGTAAAGTCTGTCTGCGTCCTTGCTCGATAGTAGCAGTAGATGTCTCATCAAAACTGCTCGCTGGAAAATTTTCGCCTGCCAGATACAAAATCTGTCGTAAGTTTCAGTAGACACCTTCTCTGGACAAATTTGTATAATCACTGAAAGAACGTCGAATATACAATCTCATGCTGTTAAAAAATAAAAACCGTAACGTTTCTGATATTCCTTCTCTGAGGGCACCTTTCCATATGTACGTTTTCAGGTGATTTGCGTTGCGTGCGTTTTACTTTCAAGAACACCAAATGCGACTCCATTAACCGGAAACGGGTTTGATGGCTACGCAACGTTTGGCGCATGCGTTGAGCGCATATGGAAAGGGTCATTAACTCAGATCATTCAAAGAATAACCAAAACTATGTAAGAGCATGCAAGCAACGGCGGATTCAGAAACAATGGGGGTGGCCCTAACCATTTCTTTCATATAACGTCTATGAACCCTGAAAGTGACGAAGAGAGAGCACACTTTTCCTAGCAAAGAAAGTTCCTTCGGTGGGAATTCGCTCGTCGCCTGCTGCCCACACAGGGCAGGTTTACCCTTGCCATTACTCAAATGATCTCTGTCTAATAAGTATTCGAAAAAACAACGTCATTATTTGCCCCTCCCATCTCAGTGTCTTGCACGGGCGCTGGACGACGAACGAATTTGTATCGTTGATACATAAACGACGACAAGAGCGCGGGTTTCAGTCGCGTTGCAACCAACAAAATGAATACTCCCTACCAACATGGCTCTTTCCTACCAATGATAGGAGAGTACTTCTGCTCAAGGCTGATAGCTGAAGTCTGGTGGTTGCTAGGCTACAAGTGGGGATCTTAATCTTTCGAAATGGAAGAAAAAGCACTTCACTAAAAAATTACCTTATTTTCAATATTTAACAAAGAGGCCCTTCTTTTTGTGGGGCCGGGCCACGATGCTCCATCTCCTGGATCCGCCTTTTTAGCAACATAATTTTCTCACCAATAACTTTGATGTTAATCTCCGCAGTTCTGTCCCTGGTGTCTCGAGGTATGACTTGACACAGATATTTCCCCTCATCAGTCTCCTCTATACCTTTAATGACAAGGCTGAAGCCCGTCGTACCAAACGAGTACCTGTCGCTCGTTGAATAGTCTTCCCCTTTTATACGGCTGATCAACCGCGTCGTTGAATCAGCTTCCTTGAACCAACCGACTCGATCTACGACTTCACCAGTGATAAAGGTTGGGCAAGGCACTTGTAGCCACACGCCTAGCTGAGCGTAGTGGGCCATACCAAAAGCAGAACGAGTATTGTTGACTGAAACGTAAGCAAAGAGTTACTTCACAGCGCCCCATTAATTCGAATGATGCCAAAATGCAAGGTTCTAGCAAACTGTCTGGCCAGTACATCAGTATTTATAGGTCGTGCAAATTGTGTAAAAGTCCTTTCGTGATGAGATAAGTTTAAAGTGAAGTAAACCCACGCTTTTCAAAATAAAATTTTTGCAAAGATCAATTGTACTTAAAATTATGTTATTTTGATATAATTTTTCCGGAAGAGTATAAAACATTTTCAGTGCTACACTGTGTAATGTTTGCCTCTAACGTTGCCTGGCATTGAATTTCTTTGCCTAAGTTTAGCATTCAGTGCCATAGCATCAAATACAAGTAAAGATTTACTAATGGAAATTTGTGTGGTTGTACGGCGGAAAGAAAGAACAAAGAAACAATAACAAATGATGCCAAATCACTTATAAATATACGATTGAAAAGTTTAGAAACTTTACCCGCATTTGGTGGACATATCTTGTCTCCGGCCACAGGAAGTCCAAATGATACTAACAGAGTAACCGCAGAGTAGATAAGCATCATGATGATGTTGGTTACATCAAAGCAGGTATGAACCTGTTAAAAAGGCAAAATTTTGTAGGTGAAAGTAGGTGAGAGTACCATGTGATCGTCCTTATCTGGACATCGTTTCCTCCTGTTTTCTTGCCTTAAAACCCCTCGGTAGAGGGAGTGGCCTTTCCTGGCGAGTCCATTGGAGCTAATTAACATATAATTTTTTTTTAAGTCCAAATTCCACGACTACCTATCATATCCTACCCCTGAACATGCTGAAAAACCTGGTTTAGTCACTTTACAGCCAGGGCCTCCCCTAGCCAGAAAAAATGCAAAAAACCAAGACGGCCTTGAGTCAGCCTCCAGGCAAATCCCATAGGACTGTGTACTAATTGGTCCCTTGTGCACAACGGTTTCGAGTCAACTCGGACCCAAACCAACTCGGACCCATACCAACTCNGAGTCAACTCGGACCCAACCCAAGGAGCGTGATTAACTTGTTGAAAATTTTTATTTTGTCCACTTTTACATTTAAGCATTTGGCAAATGACACTTTTGCACTGGTTTCTCCGTTTTCGAGTTTGAACAGGCATGGTGGTTAAAAACCGTACAGGACTAGATTTGATATCAGTGATGTCTTGGAACAAACCGAAACCGACAAGCGTCGTATTTTTATGGAGGCACATTTCCTATGATGTCTTATTTGCCGCTTGTAATCTGGAATCTTAATTTTTACTACTATTAGGGGGTATCTTCGGGAAAAGGCGAATAAAAAAGTTCATAAAATTGAAACGAAAAAAAGTGATCAATCTGGCCATAATCTTGAATTTCAAGTGGAAAAAAAATTATCTTGAATTTCCAGCGAAAAAAATGAAGGCCAACCTCTTCCCGAGGTTCAAGAGTCGGCGCTATTTCGGTCTACGGGCGCGTATTTGGTGTAATGCAACCGTAAGAGTCAGTGGGTCCGAGTGACTCAAGGTGGGTCCGAAATGGCG